TATATATATATATATATATATATATATGTATGTATGTGTGTGTGTATATGCTTGTATAAAAAAAAAAATATATATATATATATATAAAAGCTCATTCAAAATATTAATAAATACTGTAATAGTGCTACTTGGTGACATGCTCCTAATGGCATGCGTGACTGTTTTGCAGGAGAATCAGGCACGCAGAAGACGGAGCCAGTGGAAGCCACTCCCACACCGAGTCCTGCCCCAACAGGAGAGGAGGCGGTCCTGACAGAGCAGCTGAGAAGGGTGTGTCAAACTCCTTTAGTACCCTCCCCTTTCTGTTATCCATCATTTATGCATCTATTATTTCTATACATACAGTATATATACTTTTTTTTTGTCATTTTATTGTACTTAAATTTTTGTCTTATTTAAGTCTTATTTTGCATCCCTCCTGTAGAATATCGAGTGTCGACTCAAGGTGTCCTTACCCAGTGATCTTGGGGCAGCTTTGACTGACGGGGTCGTGTTGTGCCATCTGGCCAACCACGTGCGTCCCCGATCCATACCGAGCATCCATGTACCCTCACCGGCAGTGGTGGGTGACCTTTTTGGGTTTATTTTAGCCATTACTACATTTCTTAAGTTTTTGTGTATGTGTGAGTCTGTGCATAGGAGTACATTAGCTTCATGTTTTCTCTCTTTCCAGCCCAAACTGACGATGGCCAAGTGTCGACGAAATGTGGAGAACTTCCTAGAGGCGTGCCGCAGAATTGGAGTTCCTCAGGTATATTTGGTCTCCTGCACTTCAGTCTATTTCCTCAGTCTTTATCTTTAAAACTAAATTAGAAATAACTTCTCTGTTGCATGCTTGCTTCAAACATAACATCTCTTGCTGTTTCCTCTAGTGCCTCTAATACTACTAACTCTTTCTCTCTCTCCCTCTATTCCCTTCCGATTTAAACCATCTCACATCCCATCAACCACTCGTTGTGTTTTATTTGAACACTCATGTTCCTCTTGCTCCTTGTCTCGACCCTGCTGGCAGGATAGCTTGTGTTCAGCTGGTGACGTGCTGAAAGGGGAGGTGGTCTGTGTGTTCAGGCTGGTCCAGGCCTTGCTCTCCCTGGCACCGCCTCCCTTTCACTCCGCCCCCTCTACCCAGCTGGCTGGATTTGCCCTTTTCTACCTGTCAATCATGTCGCTGCTGTGTGCTCTCTACTGCCACCTGGTGCCAACCCATTAAATCGCTTTTCCATATTGATCACTGCACTAAAATAGCCAATTGTTTGTGTGTTTGAGCAGAATTACACAATAGGTGGTGTTTATGCGCACAGATATTACATTTATAGTGTTTTCTAGTGATACTTTGCTAAGCTCCGCCCCCTTTGTGTAATGTTGCCCGCTTTTGACAAGCTTTATATAAATGCATTCATGCAAATTTCAGTAAAGTGTGCTGATAAAATGGGACAAATTGATTGAATGGTATTATTGCATAGACTGGAAAGAATTGTGATGAAAGAATGTGCCATTTCTTTAAAGGAAATTAAATTGCACTACTGTTCAGTTTGAGGTAAAATATTTCTTTTTTAATATTTTTGAAGGAAGACTTTTCTGCTCACCAAGGCTGCATTTATTTGATCAAAAATACAGTAATATTGTGAAATATTATTACAGTGTAAAATAGCTGTTTTCTATGTGAATATCTGTTAAAATGTAATTTATTTCTGTGATCAAAGCTGAATTTTCAGCATCATTACTCCAGTCTTCAGTGTCACATGATCTTCAGAAATCATTCTAATATGCTGATTTGCTGCTCAAGAAACATTTCTGATTATTACCAATGTTGAAAACAGTTGTGCTGCCGAATATTTTTGTGGAAACCATTTTATTTAAATTTTTCTTTGTTTTGTGGAAACATTTAATTTTTCAGGATTCTCTGATGAATAGAAAGTTCAAAAGAACAGTATTTTTAAAAATAGAAATCTTTTGTAACATTATAAATGTCTTTAATGTCATTTTTGATCAATATAATGCATGCTTGCTGAAAAATAACAACATCTTTCATTATCAAAGTCAACTGAAAAGACAAAAGTCTCCTTTGATGGTTGATAAACCGCAACAGTTGCTTAGGTGGGATTGGTTGTAATTTATTTCTGTGATCAAAGCTGAATTTTCAGCATCATTACTCCAGTCTTCAGTGTCACATGATCTTCAGAAATCATTCTAATATGCTGATTTGCTGCTCAAGAAACATTTCTGATTATTATCAATGTTGAAAACAGTTGTGCTGCCGAATATTTTTGTGGAAACCATTTTATTTTAATTTTTCTTTGTTTTGTGGAAACATTTAATTTTTCAGGATTCTCTGATGAATAGAAAGTTCAAAAGAACAGTATTTTTAAAAATAGAAATCTTTTGTAACATTATAAATGTCTTTAATGTCATTTTTGATCAATATAATGCATGCTTGCTGAAAAATAACAACATCTTTCATTATCAAAGTCAACTGAAAAGACAAAAGTCTCCTTTGATGGTTGATAAACCGCAACAGTTGCTTAGGTGGGATTGGTCAGTGACACTCTAAGGCGGGGCTTAGTGAACAATCATTTGAGAGTGTTTATATGTGTGTTTGTGTGTGTGTAGAGAACACATTTCCATAGCAAAAATGGAAAGCACAAAGATGGTTGGATTCACCCATTCAGCCTTAAATAAGATGACAGAACAAGCTGCCTGCTCCGTGAGCGAGCCCTTTATTGTGCGTTAGTACTGCTGCACACTTTCCCAATGTTTGCTGAGGTGTATGAGTACTTTGTGAAGCTTTGAGTTTCGGAGGGTTTGCATGAATTAAACTCTCCCAGATGTACTTGAAAGAAGGAAATGAGACAGAGTGGTGAATGCCAAACCATAAACTCCCCCTTTGTGCCTTACTGTGTGTATGTCAATGTCTTCCACCTCACGGTTAGCACAACAGTTCACCCAAAAATAAAACTTACTCCCCCTTAAGTCATTCCAAACCTGTACGAGTTGCTTTCTTCCATGAAACACAAAAGGAGAAATTTGGGCGTACCATCTGAGCTGCTCTTTTCCATACAGTTAAAGTGAGTATCTTGAGCAGCTTACATTTTAAGTCTGTTTTCTCACACAGAATTATCATAAGGCTTCAAAACGCTTGTAACATACAGAAGTCATATGAACTCATTTACTTTCATTGGGCCTCATTCATGAAGATATGAGTACATTTGAAGTCATTTGTCTGTAAAATGGACCAAACACTTCATAAAACTCAGATTTGATAGTTAAACAGATGTTAATGAATTCCAGTCGTTTGTATCTAGGGTACATGTGCGGTCATTCATAATTAGCATAATCCCGCCCACAAATTACATTAACGTGAATTATGTGTTCAGGGACGCTGATTGTCCTCTGGTTTGGCTTCAGTATATTGCATAAATTCTAAAGAAATTAATTTAAAACTTCTGAAATTATTCATTAAGATATCGACAAACACTGCTTGAGCTCAGAACAATTGTAATCCATAATAAAAAGAAAATAAATTACTACAAAACTGTTTTTAATAATTTTTGTTTATCAATTAAATTTATTTTTACATTTAACTAATTGATTGATTATTTAAAACTAATGAATTTTCTTTTAAGTGTTATAACACTGTACAACACAATAATATTTACATGCTTTTGTGCTTTTATCCAAAGTGACTTTTTTTATATTAATTTTATATTATTTTTTATGATAATATTGCTGCAATGTTAAATGTTATTATGGTAAACAGTGTTATCAAAATGCAGTGTCATCAGTTTGCTTAAAAAAATTTAAGTAATGCATAAACAAAGTATACATTATTTCATGCAAATATGAACTTTTATGCATCCAAAAACATCAGAACGCATAATTTACACACAAAATTCTGCTTGTGTTTCATTAAATGAGGTCCATTATGTGGAAAAAAGCAGCCAGGACTTTAAGCTAAATGTCTCCTTTTGTCCAGAAAGTAAAGCATACATGTTTTAAACGACTTAGGGTGTGTAATTAACTTTAAATAGTTAGAAAACCACTTTTAACCCTGCAGTTATCAAGCATGTTGTCAGTCGTGCACCAGAACACGATTTACTCACTGAAATAACAGCCCTCGTCAACCAGTACATGCCTGTTGTTAATAAATATACAGTGTAATATATTCCTAACACATGTAGGAAACGCAACTCCGGTCGCAGAGAGTGTGTGAGCATTTTTGTCAGATTTGTGTGCCATATTGCCTGATTTTCCTACAGTCTGACTGTTGTCCTCCTCTGCTTTTCTACAATAAAATCTAAACTCATGTATCGGCTGTAGAAGTGTGTTTTATCGCTAGTTTAGTCGTGTGTTTGAGTCTCCGAGTCACAGCTTTATATTGGATAGATAGATGGCACCTCAGTTTGATGTATCATTCATATTTTTAGCACAAACAGTACAGGACAATTTATAGGGGTTCGTTCAGATCACAATAACACAAAGCATGTGCAATAACAGCCACTACTAATACTTCAGTTCACTCAGTGCCAGACTAGTTGACGTTGAAGTTCTAGTTTGTGACAGACAGGTTTTGAATGATTTTTCCATCTCTCCTCTTCTTCTTCCATCTTTTTTTTTTTTTCTTCAAAAGTTTCCAAAGGTCATGACTTTACTTTCATCTTGGTTGAAGTCCTTCCTTAGTTGCACATTACCTGTTTTATTGGAGTTCCTTCATTTTTAAGGAATAGTTCACTCAGAAATTAAAATTTGCTGAAAAATGTGCTCACCCTGAGGCCATCCAAGATGTAGATGAGTTTGATTCTTTATCAGATTTGGGGAAATGTAGAATTGCATCAGTGTCTCAGCAATGGATGCTCTGCAGTGAATGGGTGCCGTCAGAATGAGCGTCCAAACAGCTGATAAAAACATCACAATAATCCACAAGTAATCCACACCACTCCAGTCCATCAGTTAACCTCTAGAGAAGTGAAAGCTGTGTGTTTGTAAGAAACAAATCCATCATTAAGATGTTTTAACTTTAAATTGTTGCTTTCAGCTCAAATACAAGTCCACTATATCCATAATAACGCTTTCTCCAGTGAAAATGTGGTCTGGTCTGAATCAGGAGAGAAATCTGCACAGATCAAGCCAAAACAGCTCTAAACAAATATGCGGCTGGATTTTGATGTGAGACAACAGGAGATTGACTTTTTCACTGGAGGAATCGTTATTATGGATTATGGACTCGTATTTTAGCCAAAAGCGAAGTTTAAACGCATTAATGATGGATTTGTTTCCTACAAACACACAGCTTTTGGCTTCTCCAGATGTTAACAGATGGACTAGAGTGGTGTGGATTATTGTGATGTTTTTATCAGCTGTTTGGACTCTCATTCTGACGGCACCCATTCACTGCAGAGCATCCATTGCTGAGACAGTGATGCAATGCTACATTTCTCCAAATCTGTTCTGATGAAGAAACAATGTTGAATTTGGCCTGAAACTTTCATTTTTGGGTGAAGAACTATTCCTTTGATCATTTAATTTTTTAAGTTATGTTGATTTTATAATTTTGTTTCTCCATTGACACAACCTTTTCGTCCCTATTTTGTTCGCCCCTGCTGTGTGTGTGTGTGTGTGTGTGTATGTGTTTACGGCCGCAGAGCCAGCTGTGTCTCCCTCTGCACATCCTGGAAGAGAGAGGTTTGCCTCAGGTGGCCGGGACGGTTCGTGCCCTCCTGGATCTGGCCCCTCCGAAACACACGCCCTCCCCCAGCACGACCCGGACCGGGCCCAGCACTGCCTCCCCCCTCGCCCTGTAGGACCGAGAGCTAAAGGAGTCTCCTCCCATCAGGCCCAAAGATCTTTAAGACTCCTTTCTGTTCTGTTCTTGAGTGACACACGAACGGTTCTGTAAGGGTAACACACTCACACACTACCTGCCCTGTGAACACACACGCTCTTCAAACCCCAGCCAGCCCTCAGACAACACAGGGGAGAAGAGAAGAGATGACTGACGGGACCGACAAACATGTCCAGAGACTTCTTTGAAGCTATATTTCTATTTCGTTTTAACAGTTAGTTTTACACTTTAATATCTCTAACTATTATGGGTGATGTTTATTTTTATTTTGTATTATTATTATTGACTCTCAAGTTATGTGAAGAATGAGAGTTCACGTATCTGAGAGTTACTTTGGCTGGTGGTTTAATCTCACAAAACCTGTGCAGGTCACATTTCACATTAAATAAAATAAGATATTATACTTACAGAAATTGAAACACATTTTTTAGGACCATTATGATTTTTCTGACATTATTTTCATGATGTACAAAACAAGTTCTCATTATCACAATGCAAAAATGTAATGCAAAGGAAAAACATTTTAAACAATTTTTTTTATTTGAATAATAATTTTTTGCATAATAATACATTGAAAAATGTTCAATAATTTTTTCACTGCATTATAATGCAAAGAAAATTATGTATTTAAATAAACTTCTTTTAAAATATTTTTTTGAAAAAGCTGGTTTTCATTTAAATAAACTTTGCATTATAAATTTTAAATAAAATTTAAATAAA